AAAGTCTCAGACTAAATAATTCTTTCTTCTTTAAACATTTTGTTTGTTGAGAATCTCGGCATTCAATTTTTGCAGCATTCAAAAGTTATCTGACTTCTTCCTCTAATTGAAAATATTTTCATAAACCCCTCATTTCCACATTATATACTTAACATACTCCATAAATAAGCAAAATATATACTTAATGAAGTATATGTATATTTATATATATACTTAATAAAATATGTATTTTAAAAATCCTCCAAATGAAATAATAGCTCTACCAATGTTAGATGAGAAGTCAGTATTCATCCTCAAGAGGAAAATCTTACCTTACAAAGATGAACTTGAATTTTGACAAAATTTTGTAAAAGAAGGATATTATACATTTTGACATTGGTAATTTTATTTATACACAACAAATCTATTTTACTACCATTAAAAGTCTTAAACAATTTATCCGAGATCATGTGATAAGTTAATGCCTGATCTAGGACAAATATTCTGGTTTGGTAATTCTCAATGCCACCTAAATATTCTAAATCTTGAACTTCTGATGGTCTCAAGACATTTTAAACCACCCATGGTCTCAGTCCTAGTTCTAATTATCAAATACCTAACTATCATACAGAACACCATGCTTAAAAAGAAAGAAATCAAGTGGAAAGCATGTTTATGGAGAAGGACAAGGGAAAACTATCCCCCAAAATACATTCATGGACTATTTGATAAAGTCAGGCTAGAACAGCCCAAGATGATAGTAAACAAACGTCATGCTCTAAAACTGAATTTTGCAGATACTTTTCAGCATGATTTTTCTATGTTTCACTTTTCACCGTCAGCTGTGAGCTGTTTCCAAGTGTGAAATCGCCTAACAGAGGAAGCAAAGCTGTCAATTGACATCTGGGAGCGTGGAGATTGGGCTGCAATGAAAAGCATTTTGGACTTCTTCAATTTACACACATATTCACCTATAAATTCTCAAGTCTGAACAGTATACAATGAGAAATATCAGTGTAAATTTCAAGCATTTAAAATTAAAGGCTCATTTGAGGTAGAAAATAAAAGTGAAGGACATACTGATAGGATCCTATCAACTTGTTTAAGATTAGAATGGAAACATAAGTGATTATATTAGCATAATAACTAACATAAATAATTCTACTCACTTGTGTTAGATTGCATGTTGAACTTTCAACTACTGTCTTTTGTATTATATATGGGTAATAATGTAAGTTCTATTTCTAGCTGCTTTTTATGATGACAGTCAAGACTGCTAAGAAAAAATACTAGGAGAAAAAGAAAGCATTAAATACTGTTTTAACACCCTATTTTAATTTTTCTTTATACTTAAAATACTATAACAAAAATTTATTCCAGATTATGAAATGATAAAGCATATAAAATCCTTTGGCTAAAAACTTGGGGTGTGTGAGTATCTGTCTGTCTGTCTGTGTGTGTCCAAATACAAATAAAATCAGAATAATTAAAAGAAAAAGAGCTCTGGAGAAGAATAACCAGTCTATCCTGGTTTTTGTTCTATAATGTCTCATAGTGAAAAACAAGAAGAATCTATCTAACCATCTCCTAATACAGTATCTATGAGTCTCCTACTATGGGAACTAGACAGTGTTATATTTACATCATCATGCAATGCACTCTACTCCTACTTTGTGGACCATTTCTTTGCTTTTTCTCTTCCTGAACTCCATTCTGTGTGTATGTGGTATGAAAGGAACCCATTTACCATGAATGATGTTTATTTAAAATAAAACCTTGCTAGAGAATCATCCTAGATAATCTAAGGACACAAAGTGAACCTAAAAGGAATGGTTTCTACTTTGAAATTGGGGCTGGGTTTGATCAGTGAATTCGTATTCTCAAGACCCTCTTGATGGGTTTGCAGCTGCAGCCATTTATGTGCTGGCTTTTTCACAGATGTAGACAGAGAAAGCTCCATGGTTTTTGTCTTTCTCTTGTTGGATTTGTTTTCTTTAATATTAAAAAAAGGGCAACTTTTTAAAAAAGTTCTTGGTTCTGTTGTAGAAACTTGTAAATATAGGACTTCTTTAGTAATATATATAGCTGAAATAACTATGAATTTTTAAAATCCAAGATCACAAAGTTGGCAGAAACTATTCTTAAATAACAGAAGGTGATCATTTGCATTTCAAAATTTATCTATCTTGCTTTTCCCCTCAATTAGACCAAAACATGTTGATTCACAGGTTTCTGTGTATGTTTTTTCTGTTTTAAACTTATTTATAGAGCAGAATAATGGCCCCCCTGCTAGCTTGGCATTTGTTCAAGTTGCTGTCCATGTAAATCGAATCTGTTACTGGAAAATTTTCTCAAAATATAAAGGCATATCATCCACAAGATGAAAAGATATACTGCTGATATTATAAAGTACAGGGCAGGTGGATATTGTTTTTAGGACAAATATGGGATAAGGATTCCCAGGAGGGATGAGTGGTAGGGTAAAAGCTCCATGCTATTTAAACAGAAGTGAACCCTTCTCATCATGATCTTGGGACAACTTTACTTTCTAATCAAACATGAGCTGCTTAACATACTTTTGGGTTACTTGCACAATAATAGGAAGGTTAGAGTTGGGAAGTGGGAGAAGGGGGAGAACAGAATTGCTTCAGCTGCAGCATTTCTAAAGGTAGACCAAAAAAGGGTTAAAACACTCTTAACTACTGATTTGTAATTTTTAAACACTGAAAATGTGGCATATTATTATTGCTCTCACCTTTGAGGAGAAACACTACTTAAAAGTTTTTATCAGTTCCATTGCTACTCAGTCCTAAGAAAAGCAGTAATTTACACATTTTTGCTCCAATTCTCTTAGTAGCAGGAGCAAGAGGAGGGAGCACAAAGGCTAAACTGAGCCCTCTGGTTCTCTAGGTTTAAGATCATCTACATTACAACATTACCATTACTTTCTTATGAAGGCCATTACTGGGTTTGTTTCACCTTGTTGCTAAGGCTGATATGCTAAAGGACTACAGAAACTTTCCATATTGTTCAATGTACACCACAATGCTACACTTGTGCAACTGACAAAGCTTGAAAGTACAATTCTTTTATGCAAATAATTACAACAAATTCCCTTTTCAGACAATGGGTTTTGTTGTTGTTGTTTTGCTTTGGTTTTGGGTTTTCTTAAATGCTAGTGAAGGACAACCTGGAAGAGGACAGGGGGAAAAAAAAAAAAAATCCATTAGTGGTACACTGCCACCTGCTGGTGAATGGTAAGAACTGAGATTTCTGGGGAAAGGATTAAAAATTAGGACTTAGAAATTTGTATTAAATTCAGTATTTCAGTACATGAAACTGAATACATGTATCTGTTGATGAACGGAATGTGGTTTTGTCCCATGTGTATTACAGTTCTTAGGGCCAAGGTGCTACAGATATTAAAGTAAATAAAATTGTGCTTGAGACTAAAGAAAAATAATGTACTAGCATGCCAAAATAACACCTTACAGATAGTTTTCAATAGGAAAGTACCAATAAAAACAGGAACTAAGAAGTCGGTTTATAAACATTAGTGCTTCATAAATGGTTTTTTTCTGCAGTTTACTCTCTACTTCACTTCAGCATGTAATAGGCCTCACTCAAAAGAACTCAACCATAAAACCTCCAAATTCATTATAATTAACAAATACATTTATGTACATTGGCACCTAAAATGCTATTTCTTGACAAATTTAAAAGTGGGGAAATCTATAAACCTAACAATCAGTTAACTATAATAATAAAGTGATTTTGCTACAAAACTTTTTGCTATCCCATTAACTACATCACACCAGCAGTTTCAAAAAAAAAATAGCATCATGTTATCTATTTGAGAAAAATGAAAAATGCAAGTGTGCTCTGATGCTGTCTCTAGGAAGAAATAAAATCAAACAGTCCTAGTTTGGGGGAATAAGGAGGAAAGAAAAGAGTTTGGCAGTTCTAGTTCCCAAATGGTTATTTTCAGTAAAGTTTTAGGATATTTCCTTTGTAGATTGAACACCTTTGCTATTCCTCAATATATAAGTAATTCTTAACAGTGAGGATTATAACTAAAAATATAAAGCTCTTTCAGTCCTAATTATAATCATTTCCTGTTATGCAGTGCTAAATAAGGTTAGCATCAGTACACTGGTTAGTAAGCATCACATACTGTATTACCACCAAGCAGAAGCAGATCATGTTAACATAATCAGCTGGAAACTCCTTTGAAGGCCAGTAGGATGATAAGGGAACAACTCTGGTCATCCCAAGAGGCTAAGCGCTATGCAAAAAGTGAACAAATTTTGGATGTAAATGTAGTCCCCTCCGCACTGGTGACAGAGAGAATAACTCAAATCCATGCATATGCTGAAGCTACCCAAAATTGTCAACAAAGGACCTAACATCCACAGAAATAATCTTGAATTTTAAAAAATAAAGATCAATACAGTAAGGGCAAGAGAAAACTACTGTGCCAAATATTTAGTTAAATGGTATATTTTAAAACAAGAAGGGCTGGTGGAGTGGCTCAAGTGGTAGAGCACCTGCCTAGCAAGCACAAGGCCCTCAGTTCAAGCCCCAGTACCAACAACAACAAAAATAAAACATGCTTCCTAAATTTTCTCAAATACAGAACTTTTTAAAACGTGTTCTAAAATGCCAGGTTGGTTTATCATTAAATCACAATGTATTTTAAAAATCCACATCTTAATAAAAATCATCAACGTAAAGAAGTACAGAATATTTAAAGGTCCTTCTAAACACTAAGTTAAGACATTTTAAAGAATTCACTAGGTTTTCAGAGATATATAAATACTTTAAATAAGAACAACAAAGATTAATATATACCTGTGGATTTACATAATAATTTTATTCCCCAATATTCTTTTTTGAAGGGTTGAAGAGATACCCAGGTCCAACACATATGCGAACTTACTAGTAGAAATATAACTTGTATAAAGAAATGAGAGCTGCTGAACCACTTTTTCAAGTGAAACATTTTAGGAGATTGCTCTAACCTGGGGCACAGTACATTCTCTCTATGGCATCGCTGTCACAGGAATCTTCAACCTCACTCCACCTGCTAAAATACGTTAGCTGAATGTGTCCTAAAAACAAAACGACAGGAGAAATCAAAACATTTTTCTCTTCCATTTTCTGCAGAAGTGAACTGTAATTACTCCTTTTGTAGCTAAAAACAGTATCATTAAGAATAATGGCATCATTAAGTACTAGAAGCTATTACTGGGGGTGAATTTGCTGCACTGATAATGAAGCTCTAGACAGGAAATGAAGATACTAATTACAAGATAAAACGCCTACTCAGTTAATTGGAAGCAACAGCGAATAAAAAGAAATGCATTTGCAAAAGTTCCTGACCTCTATCATTCAATAAGATGTTGTTTGGGTTCAAATCGCGGCACACAATTCCCTCTCTATGTAAAGCATCAAGGGCTACCACCATTTCAGCTGCCCATCTTTGAATGCAGCCCTCTGGGATGTAAAACCTGGAGCTTAGTGCTAATTTCTTATCAAGATCCTCAAAAATCTGATGAATTTCCTTGTCTCCTGCTAGTGATAACCCACTTTCTCCCATAGTCTGAGAGTCTCTCTGGAATAAAGAAGTTGGTTCCTCTTTAGTCAAGTCATCGGTTTGATCTGTAAACAGCAACACTTCTTCTGTGTTTAAAGTGTCTATGTTTGTATTATATTCATTAGCACCTGACAGCGGATTAGAAATACAGAATAAGCTTTCTTCTGGGACGTTTGCCCCAAGTTCTTGAAACTTGGGATCTGAGCTGTGTAACAAAGCTGTGTCTCCTGAACTTCTATGATCAACAGCTGCTACGAACAACCCCCTCAGATCCTCCTGTGCGTAATGTTTCTCAGTTACACCATAGGATTTGGGCCTAGAGGGATCACTCAGTTCCTCTGTGCCTTTTTCTTCTTGGGCTTGGCGTTTTTCAGTACTAAGCCTGAGACATAACACATCTGGGGCTTCCAACAGTTTACTCTCTAGTCTGCCCACATTGCTCTGTGAAAACTTAGTAGGTCCCACTGCTAAAGCTTCTTTTGTTGGCTCCAATTCACCAGGTAGATTTACAAGAAGATCAGGTCTTCCTTCATCAGAACCACTGACATCATCAAAAGCAGCATCTTTAAATGAAATGACTGGCACTGAGTCATCTGGTCCCCTGCTAATGGTGTCCTGAGCTTTAAACTCTACCTTGCTTTTACTGGTATTAAAACTCCTGGAAGTGCTGTCTCTGTCTGAAAGGGTCAAGAATGGTTTCAAAGGTTCTGATTTTAGACTATACAATTTTTCTCCAAAATCAAGCCCCAGAAGTTCACTTGTGCTATCCTTACTATCTATCCTAAAGAATTCCATGGGGCTGTTTTTTGATCTACTGAGGGAATCGGATGTTCTTGGAGAACAAACTACTTCTGGGTCCTCATCCAAAGGGAAAAACTTCAGCTCGTGAGCTCTCAGCTGTGTGCTGGGGCTGTCACTATCAGCAGCAAAGGGAGCTGAGATGCTCTGAACAGCTATGGCATCAACACCACTCCCTTCAGTCCTCATGAAAGACTCCTCATTCAAAGACCCGGGTTCAATCTTTTCTTGCCCATATTCATTGCATAATGTTAAATAACTAGTAGTGCATTCTTCTTCTGAACTTGAACCAGAATCTGGCCACTTAGGAGAGCTGTCTTGCCCATCACCTTCCTGGCTGCTGTCATCTTGGGAACTTGGGGTAAGACTGGTCTTCAAAGGCAGAGCTCCAAGCACGCTGCCTCCATCGCTTCCCCTGGACTCAAAGCTGCTTCCGTCCCGAGGACTAGAAGTTGGCTGTTGTAGGTAAACTTCACTGGGTGTGGATTTTTTCATTTCCTTGATGTCAAAGCTCTCTTCAGGACTTCTGTTTAGAAACTTACTGATATATGACCAGAGCTTGCCACCTATGAACGAGTATAACAACAACAACAAAAAATTAAATCCCCAAATTGGTAGTTAGTTAAGTCACTAGAAAAGAAAGTATTCTAAAAATCAATCAAAAACAAGTCAATGACACTAATACCAAACATGCTTAAAACAAGCATGTTTAATAAAACATGAAGTTATTTTTCAATTTTGTTACTGCTAACTGGTGAGTATGGTTTCATGTCGATTATTTTTAAAATAACAATGTATTTTTTCCTCTATGGTTCCAATTTTAATATATATGCTGCCAAAGTGAGTACCAGAAGCATACTTTGTGAAAAATTAAGAATAATGTGTTAAAATAAATTCCCATACTCAGATGAAGAAAGTAATTCTTTCAGAGCATTTTTATGTCATATTAAGCATGATATACCAAGAGTAGCTAAATTTAAGAAAAACAGTCATTGACAGTCAATTGCCTATACAAAGTCAACAGCAGCATACAAAAAATTTCACATTTCATTTCAAGGAATTCAATGAGCTCTTAAAGCACCTTCCCTTGTGCCTAACATAGAATAAACGCTCAATACGGGATAGCTCTCTTTTTGGCAGTGATCTTATATTGATAACAGGGGTACTGATATAACTTTCCCTCTCATTTTTCTTAGCTAATGCTTTCTGCCCTCTTTACACGGTATAATCAGTGTTTCACATTTCCCTGTATTCAAACTAACATTTAAGGACACATATATGGATTTCAAACTCACAAAAGGAGCTATGCACTGATTTCCATAATCTTTAGTCTTTTTCAATAATAATTACATTCTTATCACAAAAACCTATATTGTGGCACTCTAACAATAATGCACAAACCTGAAGCTGAGACTTTTATGCAATCCAAATAAAATGACATTTGCAGTTTTCAATTCTCTAAAAGAAATGACTACTTTAAGGAAAGGACCAAGTCTTTTTCATCTTTTTATGCCTACTGTCTTCACGGTGTGCAAACATGACAGGAATCCAGCCAATGCTTGTTACATCAGATGATGATACACCGGAGTGATATGTACCATCGCAAAGCAGACAGTATCTGCATATGGAAAGTTCCAGTCATCAGCAAAAAATAGTGCCTAATAAAAAAGCTCTAAAAGTTCTAAAAAAGAAAAGGCTTCATTCACTGTTAAGCCAATTCCATCTGAATGAGCTACTGAAATCTAAAACTCAATGTACTTAAATTATTTTTATCCCCCAAAATCACTTCTTTCTGACTTCAAAGTCACTCAGGCACAAAAGATTTAGGCCAAACTTGCAAGCTTTTCTCTCTCTTCTCTTACATTTGACAAGTTTTCAAGTCTTATAGGAGCTACATATAATATTTCTCCCAGGCATTCTTTTAATTCCTTTAGTCACTCTGTGCTGCTTGGGATAATGCTATAGCCACCACTGGTTCCTACTTGAACCACTGTATTCTACTAACTGTTGCCCAATGAACCTTCCATTCTAGCACAGTTCTCATCATGCCACTTCTTCATTTAAGAAGTCAAATCCCCTCCTCCTACTGAATCATGCTCCAACTCCATCTGGGCTTTAAACCCCTTGGTAAAACAGCATCAACTTACAATTGAGTCTTCTCCCCCTACTCACTACATAATTCATTTGAGTTGATCTCCGCCCCATAGAACACAGACTGGGCTTTTTCTCATACTACACTTAACACTTGGAATTTTTTCCTACTTATTTCTCCAATACCTGCTTGTCAAGATCCTATCCTTCCTTGAAGGTCCTTTGGAATTTGTTCTTTTTTACTTCTTTGTACCCCTTCACTGGATATAATTGATATCTTCTCTGAATCCTCTATATCACTTCAGCCCTCTTATGATATGTAAAATAATATATTTGATATTTATGTTACTTTTATGCTTCTATCTCCTTTATCAGACAATAAGATCTTAAAAATTGCAAGCAGAAGATTCTACATAGGACTGGAGGTGTGGCTCAAGAGGTAGAGTGCCTGCTTTGCAAGCTCAAAGCCCTGAGTTCAAACCCCAGTCCAACCAAAAAAAAAAGATTCTACATAGCATGAAAAATAGGTATCAAGTATTTATTAGAAAAGATGACATCTTTACAAACTTTTTCAAAAATGAAAAGGGTCTGCAAGTACTAATTTTATTATTGGGTGGCCTTACTTTCTTCCTATTTTATTACTAATATATGATTTTACTACAAAACCTTCAGAAATACAAAAAAGGAAAACAGAAAGAAAAGCCCAAAACCAACATCACCCATATTCTCACTGCCTAGTGATAAGCACTATCAAACCACTGCTACATTTATTTCCAGGTTTTTACTCACAACTAACATCATATCATAAATATTTTCTCATTTTTCTTTTTTTTCCTTTTGGTGATACTAGGTTCCAACTCAGGGTCTCCCATTTCCTAGACAGGTGCTCTTCCACTTGAGCCACATCCTCAGCCCTTTTTTGCTTTAATTATTGTTCAGGTAGGATTGTGATCTTTTTGCCCAGGACCAGCCTCTGACTCATCCTCCTACCTCTGCCTCCCCTGCAGGTAGGATTACAAATGTGATCCAATACCCTGGATTTGTTTGTTGAGACTGGGGGATGGGGGTGGGGGGTCTCACTTTTTATCTAGGCTGGCCTCAAAAAGCAGTCTTCTCATCTCTGATTCCCAAGTAACACAGATTATAGGCATGAGTCACCACACCAGGCCCTACATTTTCAAATTTTTATGAGAAAATGAGTTTGAATGGCTATATAGAATATCCATTTGATAAATACTGTAATGTATTTAAATATTTCTCTGTTATTGGACATTTAAGTTGTTCCTAGTCTTTTCTTTTTATAATTTTTTATTGTTGTGATGGGGTACATTGTGGCATTTACTAAAGTTCTTATAACATATCAAATATATCATACTTGAATTCCCTCTCTCCACTATTCTCCTTCATCCCCTCTTTTCCCCATTCCCAGTCTTTTGCTATTAGAATTTAAATAATAAACATCTGTGAATATTTTCCAGCTCTGACTATTTCATCAGAACAGAGTCCCAGAAATGAAAATACCAAATCAGGACGCATGATTACTTTTAATACTTTTGCTGTGTGCTATTAAACTGCTTTACCAGAATCCAGGCCTATAAGCTCCATCTTCACAGCAACATGCCATATGAGATGGTAGCTTGCAAGTTTATCAATTTCATTAATTCAACACAGCATCCTATTTAATGCCCACTATTAGATAAAATTATGAAATGTGATTATGGAGTTTCTTTGCAAAATTTGTTCCCTATCTGCACAAGTACTCTAACATGAATTATAAAAACTGTACTATCAAGAGGGAAAAAAAACTGCTTTTGCTCTTCTCCAATTCTCTGCAGGGCGCCCAGTTAAATTTAATGCTCAATATGGAGTTGCGAAAACAAAATTTTGGTCACACTGCATCCTTTTTTTCAATTACAAAACCATGAAAACCACATAAGCTACAAGAACACATTATTCCCATTACTTTTTCTCACCTACAAAAGCCGGATGAGTTTTTACTTTCTGCAGAGTTAAGACCATGCCTAACAAACTTACGTAAGTATCAACAATATTATTATAACATAATGAAACTAACCTAAGAACTATTATTGCTAAATAGAAATAGAAAATACACAAAATACTTATTATTTTAAGACTTTAAGAATATAAAAAGATACTTTTCTAGGTCCTTTTGAAGCATACAAACTGCAGTTACTGAACCACCTTAAGCTATAAAAAATAGAAATTCCTAAGGTTTAATTAAAACTCTTTGTCTCTTGTCATATTAATTTATTGGTTTTGTATAAGATTGCACAATAACTGTGTTAATTTGCTTGACCAGAATTAGAACTTAAATTTAATATGTATAAAATATTACTACAGCTATGATTTTTTAAAAAAATCATCTTTTGACCCAGCAGTTCTATTTCAAGGCATCTGTCCTATAAATGACTCTGAAACACAAAATGAAAATTTTAAAAAGGCACAAAAATATATACATATACTTACCAGAAACAGTTTAGATATCAATTTAATAGAAGAGTAGTCAAATCATGGTAAACCTGCAAAACCATTTTGTATCTATACAAAACAATTGTGCAAATCCAGTGCCTACCATGAGCCAAGTACTTTACAAGAACTGTACACATACCGATATTAAATCTTCACATCAACTCTAGAAGGCACCCAAATATTACTGTCCCTGTTTTACAGGTGAGGCACAGAAATGTTAAGTACATTGTCCAAGGCCACACAACTAGTAATGGCAAGCTAGAATTTGCACTAATGGCGTGGTTCACAGTAAACATTACAAAACACTGCCTCACTTAATATAGACCTGCATAAAGTCATAAAGTCAAGTAACCACAGTACATTGCTAGAATGGAGAAAAAAAAGGTAAAGACAATATTAAGACCCAATTACATATTTAAAAACAGATGTGAAGAGAATGTATGTTTCTACATACGAAACTTGGAAAATACACAATAAACTACTTACTAACAGTAACTATTTCTGGGGAGTAGGACTGAGCACTAACATGACTAGGGAGGAAGAATTTTTTACTTTTCCTTTATACGCTTCGATATAGTTTGAATTTATTTGCCTATAGATTACTTTTATAACTTTTTAAAAGCTGGTTAGTAAGAGGAGGTTCATTTCACCTTTGGTCCCTAAGTAACTTGGAGAGAAATTCTTTATCACTCCACCTCTACTTGCTACGCTCACATGCAAGCAGTCTATCATCTTTGTCTTAATCTGATCTTACATCTTTCCTCTACCTGACTCAGTATTCAACAATAATACACTGCGTACCTCCCATATACCAAGCATTCTGCTGATTGTTGGGAAATACATGAAGAATATTACATAATTCCTAATTTTAGAATCTTAAATAAAAACAAATTTTATTTCCCCATCTTTCTCCTTCAACAAGAATTGTAATAAGATATTTACTTATAAGTAATAATAAGACCTCTCTTGTCAGTTATTACCACTTCTCAACACTGAGTATTAATAAGCATCTCAAACTACGTGTCCAAAACAGAATCTCTGACTTTTCCTTCTAAATCTTCTCCTCCCACAACTTAGTACATGAAAACCCCATTCTTTCAATTATTTGAGCCAAAAACTTTTAAGTCATGCAAGGCTAAATAATGTCAATTCTACCTTCAAGATACATTCAGACATTAATAACCATTCCTCACCACCAATACTTCTAACACTGCTATAGTTTAAGTGTGTCTCCCAAAGGGTCAAATGTTGGAAACTTGGGCCCCAGTGTGGAGATGCTAAGAGGTGAAAGGACCTTGTGTAGTGGGAAGTCATCTAAGCATGCCCTGGGAAGGGATTAATGTAGTTCTCACAGCACTCCAGGCCTTCTTTTGATTTCTGTCTTGCAATGTGATCTTTTCCTCTCAAACACACTCCCACTACTGTGATGCCATTCACCATGAGATTCTTACCAGAACTAAGCAGATTCTGGCACCATGACCTTGAACCTCTGGAGCCATAGGCTAAAGAAATCTTTCCTTTATCAAGTACTTACCCTAAGGTATTTTGTTAGAGTAACAGAAAATGGAGTAATACAACTTGTCCAAGCCATCATCGTTTTCACCTGGATTGCTGCACAACTTCCAATGTGGTCTCTCTGCTTTGAGCTTTGGCCGCCTATCTTCTGTTCACAAAGTAGTCAAGAGTAACCCCTATATTGTCACTCATTTGTCCAGCACTCCTAATAACTTCCTATTTCATTCAGAATAACAGTCAAGTTCTTAAAGCAGCCTATGAGACCAAATAGGATATGACTGCCTGCTTCTTCCTTCTCTAAGCCCACTTCTGCCACTCTTCCCAGAATACTCCAGCCACATTCATATAACATACTAAGTACACACTTGTCTCTGGGCTTATGAACTTGTCTCTGGGCTTATGTACTTGTCTCTCTCTTGCCAAGACAGTCTTTCCTCATATATCCACACTGTCCCACACTTTCCTTCAGATCTCTGATTTAATGTCCTTTTCTCAATATGTATCTACTCTATCAGAACAACTTTCTCTGCTCCTTTCATTTCTTTCCCTCTTCATTTTGCTCCAAAGCACTTATCTCCATCTGATGTATATTAACTTATGCATTTGCTTATTCTCCATTCCACTTCTAAAATACCATGTAAACTCTGTGAGGGGAAAGTTTTCTGTTTTCTTCACTACCATATTAGAACTATGCCTATGTCCCAGTAAGCACTCATAAATTTCTAACTGAGCAGATTAAAAAATGACTGGGTAAGGTGATGCATGCCTGCCATCCCAGCTACATGGGAAGCATAAATAGCAGCCTGTGAAAAAAAACATAGCACTTTACTAAAAAAATAACTAAAGCAAAAAGAGTTGGAATCATGGTTCAAGTGACAGGGTGCAAGTGTGAAACCCTGAGTTCAAACGTCAGTACCGCCCGGGGGTGGAGGGGGACCTAACATAAATCATAAACAGTTTTGTAAGCAATAGGAAGTTAAAGCTGCAAATTATAAATATCCAAGCATTTGATTTGTATTACAGAGAAAATAACTGTTCAAAAATTACCTTTCCAGTAACAGCTATTAACACATATGAAAGATGCTTTTTTAAAAATAATCTGTGCACAAAATCCTAATCGATGGAGATGCCACAGAAAAATACCACTGATGTATAAAATATAATACACTGCTTACCATCCAGCTCACTCCATTGCTCAAGCCAAATCTGACAAATTACTGTAAGTTCTTTCCCCTCCCCATCTCAAATCCATCACAGGTCCCACAGACACTGCCTTAAGACATCTCCACCAGGACTCTGGAAGCCATGCCATCTAGTCTTTTGCCTAGACACCTATATTAACCTTTTCACTGCTCTACTCTTGGCTTCCTACAACCACCTCCCATGCAACAGCCAGAATGACCTTTTTAAAATGTAAAGCAGATCCCATCACTGCTTATGATGTCAACTGGTTTCCCAATGCACTAGTATAAAAGCCAAAGTCCTTACCATTCTGTACAAGGATCCTGCTGGCTCCTCCAGTAGCATCCTATACCACAGTTGCCCTTATCTGCTACGCTTTAACCAATGGTCTCCTGACTTGTTCATCAAGTATTCCATGTTTGTTTTCACATTGGTCCCTACACCTGGCTCTACACTCAAATGACTGTGTCTTTTGCCACTCAGAACTCCTCTTAAAAGGACAGGTTCAGCTAGGCACTGGTGGCTCACATCTGAAATCCTACCTGCTTAGGGGTCTAGATCAGAAGGATCACCATTTGAGGCCAGTCCAAGCAAAAAAAAATAGTGAGAACCCATCTCAACAAAAGAGGGCTCCTTGACCACTCAATCTACAAGTAGTTACCCTGGTGTTATCTATTAGCTCTTCCTGTCTTAAAGGTCAGTTTACTTTAAAGATCAGTATTAGGATCTAATACTTTTTTGTTTGACCTACCTACTCAATAAATCTATTGAACAGTAAATTCCTATTTTCACTATAATATACCATCTTTGTACTATAAACCTTTTAAAAATTAAACAGACATCTGAAAGAAACAGTCAAAAGATATTCCTGACAATAATGCAGGACAAAGCATATGACCATGTGACTATTCAATGGCAGGTATGATCAATAATAAAAAGAAAGAAACTTGGAAATATGATCTAAAAGTGTGGAAAATTTGAAAATTCATGTATTTATGACTTTCAAGACATTATAAAATTGGTCTATAGTATTAAAGCAATATCTCTTGAAATGTCAGCTCTAAGAGGTATAAGGGAAGGTGAGAAGATGGCTGCAGAAAGACTAAAGCATGATCTGGAAAAGGAAGAGGAAGAAAAAGATAGAGCTACAAATGACAAAGGTAAGCTAAGATTGAAAATTTGCCACAGATAATCTCTAACATGAATAATCCACACTGGGTAATAGAATATTGACTATAATTACATTCATCCTACTGACCTTGTTCTAAATTATTATGGATTATTACTACGCAAGTTATTTTGTTCCACACCAGAGGTGGCTGTATTTCGCTATCAGATGACATGACCTCTAATTCAATAATGTCTGTAATGCACTGGTATCCTCAGATAAAAGCTGTCTATAATGTATGAACAAAGGTGAATTAGTTATCCAATTCACACACACAATTAACTCTCTTAATACCTGTGAGACCATGGAGCCCCTTCTGAATTTCCTATTAAATACTGCATATGGAGGTCTTCCCTCCATCTGTAGTTATCTTGTGCTGTACTTCATAATAAACAATATTAATAGTTTATTGCCCCCATCAAAAATCTTGCATTCGTTATCATAAGAGACCTCATTTCAGAAAGCAATGACTCTTTTTCCTGGGACAATGTATCACATTCAGATGTTATACCTATTAGTACAGCACAGTAGTTCTTTCCTCTCAGTAAAATAAAAATAATAATGCCTCCATCAAATATAGAAAAGAATTATTTTTGCTATTTTAAGAACACCTCCAAAGCAATTATGTATTAAGTAAATATATATGTATAGGTATGCTTTATTTAGCCATTTTAAATAAAACTCAGTTGTTAACAGGCAAAATCCAATCAGAACATAGTATTTTTTGCCACCTGTTCCTTCTACTAAGAGCTGAAATTTCATAAATAGTTTGAGGCAGAACCCTGTGCCTCTGCTTTGTAGCCATATGTGATGCCAATAGCTGTATTCATAAAAACTCAGATCAGAATAATTCAGTAATGTCAAATGTTAAGCAAACACCCTTGTCTTCTATGAAAAGGAGGTAATTAATTAATTCTTCAGGGGATGCTTTTCATTTTAGTCATCTAACATAAATGTATCTTTTCAGCAGAGACCAGAGAACAAAATAAAATCCCTAAAATAAAATCTAGCTCTCTCAGCATGTATTCACATTAAAGTTCTCATTATATTAGATAAATTCTATGGGAAAGTACATTAGGAATGGTCCTATAGTTCAAATGTTATCTGCCATTCACCTGGGTTTTCCTTTTCCCTTCTAACTCAAAGTAGGGAGGTAGAGCAGAGAAATGAGGCAACAGCTTCTCATGTGTGTCTCACATATTTTATGTGCTCATGAAGTGACAGAAGCTAAGAAGGACATTACAGAAACTGGAAAGTATAACAGTTGACATTCTTTACTCCATAAACAATCTAAACTACAAACCAACCTTCCACATGCTGCAACACAAGAAATACCGACTCCTCAGAGATGATGTACTTGTGCAGACACACCATGTTGGGCACACAGCGGGGGATGATGGTCTTTCTGTTCCTGCTGTATTCACTGCTTTTCCTTAGACCCTGACAGAGAACAAAAAGGTCAGTTGTACCCTCAGTTGCCTTTGGAGCCTGCTGTGCTCTGTGTTTATCAACCAAACTAATCTATCCGAGTTACTCCAGGCTTCAGAGAAACCACTCATCTGCTGCTCTATGCCCCTCAGTCCCTGGAGGCTCTGCTGATGGCATCTGGCGTGAATCCAGAGAACGGAAGATGCCACAAAGCTGCCATTAAAATCAATTACGTGGGTCAGTGTTTTTATTAGAGATGCTCTCAAACTAAGTCATCAGGATGACACACAGTTATTTCTCTACGACCTTTTAAGTTTTATTTTACTTATGCACATCTTTAAAGCAGGAGATGTTGTGTGATCAATTCGAATTCCTGAGACACAAAAGATATTTCTAGATTAAAACAGCAACTTTTAAATTCTATTCCAATATAGTACAAAGATTATTATAGTCTTCTCCAAAAGAACAACATATGTGCTTTCTGGTGTCATACCCTGCTTTTACAAACTGGGGAAATGTCAACGATAAAGTATATTCATAAGAAGAAATGTGTTTCAGTATGTGTCAATGTGACCTATTGCCATGCCTTCTCAGCAAAAGAAGTAGTATCAGAAAAAGAAATATAAGTCAATTCACCTTCTGGATGCTATGGAAATGCCTAAATTATGGTATTTTCAGAATATGTATTATCATAATCCATTCTAAAAACAATTTCAAAATGATGAGCTTTTTCTCATCTTATTCATTTAATTATGAATTAAAACTGAATTTAGATCACAAAGAGAGCCAGGGATGTAGATAACACTTTCTCAAATACCTGTAACAAAATTTTAGTTTTTAAGAATCAAAAGTGAGATTAGGTGTGATCTTTACAAATTATTCAAAATTTGCCTAGGATGTTTTTAAACTATACACTACACATTTAAACAACACAAAATTATTCTTCAATTTATCCAAATTAGTTCTTCTGTATCCTGTAACATAAAACTCATGGAAAAATAGAAAAAATAAATACAAATTGCCACAAACATAAAAGAACATCCGAATATCCATGCAAAAATATTAAATATCTTTTCTTTCAAAGGCATAATTTGAAAGTAAATTTCTAAATTCACTAAACATACAAATTCTACTTACTTTTAAAATGAATGTCTGTTCTGTCCTTGTGTCCATTACAAGTAAAACCTACATAAAAGATGAGTAATAATTTAACCATAATACAGTAAAACATTAACTCTTAACTTTTAGAAACTAAGAATGTGGGGGGATAGAACTGACTCTCCACAAATTATTAATTTGTGAATAGATTTTTAAAGTCCTTAATCAAAGATTTAAAGTGGTCTTATAAAAAAGATTTTATTATATAATATTTCCCTTTTAAAAAAATACCATAGTTTACAAACGTTATTGTTTCCTAAATATGTTTCTTAAAAGTAAAGGAAACAATTCAGACAAAGAATTTTTCCTCGTGAAACATATATGATGAAGAGGAAATAGTAAAAACAAATTGTTCAACTCTCAACTTTTTTCCTAAAACCTCTTACACAGAAACCAGCTATAATGTGATTTCAGTAACAGGTTCTAGCTGCCACCCTAGGTATTCTTTTGGTACTTATTTCCCATCTGACCTGCCCTTAACTCCTCTCTCTACCATCAGCAAATCCTGCCAGCTCTATCCTCAAAATCTGAACTCATCTCATTAACATCCACTATTACCATGATCCAAGAGGGACCAACTCTTACCTAGCTGGTAACAATGGCCTCCCAACTTATCTCCCTACTTCCTTCCTTCTGTGCTGCCCCGTGATCAATTTTTAAAATAGCAGGCAATGTGTTCTTTTCAAAGTGTAAGTTAGATCGTGTCCCGCCACTCATCTCACTGAGAGAAAAGGCCCAACTCCATAAAATGATCTCAAGACCCTTCATGATCTTACACAGTGTTCCCCAACATGGCCATCCTACCCACCATTCTTGATGGCCAGAAGGAGAGAAAAAAGGTACGAAATTGTCCTACCAGATTAATTTATTATTTCTGCACACTATGGTAAAGATTGGAAAATTTTTTCTATAAAAGGCTAGAATGTAAAGATTTTAGGCTGTGCAGGCCTAGGTGGTCTCTGTTGCTGTCACTGTCACACAAAGGCAGCCACAGCCCCATACTGGTTCTTGGATAGGGGGCAAGAATTTACATCACAGAAGTCAGCAAACTTCCATGAGGCTTTTTCCCCCTCTAGAGAGCTGACTGTCAAGTAATTATCAGCCCACCACTAGGAAAAGATGGACAGTGGTGGATGTCTGAAGAAAAGGAAAAAAAAAAATGTTCACATGGTAAGAACAATCAGGAAAGTTGTGGTGGGAAGCCAGTTTAAGAAGATGGCATATCCCATTTTAGACCTGATGAATTTGAAGAAATAGTGACAACTTCATCTTTGACCTCTCTTCTGAGTGTCTAACCTAGACTATTACCACAGGTACCTTCTAATAGTACCTCTTCCTGATCCCAAAGTCCTGCACTCACCAAAACAATACAATGACCTTGTTCTGAACTGAATATCACCACTCTCTATGCAAGCTCCCTAACCCAAGAGCTCCCAAAGTCACTCTGAACTCTCCAATCTCTTACCTTCAGAACCACTAACCAGATCTAGCCAATGCCATTTCTTGAGCACTTCCCTTAACCATCCACTACTCTTTCATGTTTTAATTATTTACTATGTACTATGTGTTAACCATGTCAATCCTTTCAACAACCCAATGAGATACTTTTACCATTCCTAGTTGACATATTGATGACACTGTAACTTCATGGGTAGATAGTAATAGTTATCTAGCATTTGTAAGGATTTCACTGAGATAAAATTAGAAAAGTACAGCCAATGGTTATTAATGCTATCACTATTATTGCTACTTTTTTCTTAAATGTTCCCCCAGTCACTTATAAACAAGTATTCATCATTCTATACTCAGTTCAAATCTCTTTCTCTCTCTCTCTCTCAATAACACTGACAAATTTCTTCCTTTGTTCTCCCATTTTATCCAGTAGTAACTTCTGTTATGGCATCTCTAACTCTTGTTTGGCTTTATTTATTCATCTGTCTAGCTCCCAACCAGACTTTGAGCTCTTTATGGGCACATGGGTAGAATAATGGCTCCCAAAGATGCTCATATCCTATCTCCAGAATTTGCTAATAGGTCATATTATAGCAAAAAGACTTTGCAGATTTAACTGAGGGACAGACTTTAAAACAGAAAGGTTATCTTGGATTGTCTGGGTGGGTTTTATTGAATCACATGAAGGTGTTAAACAGAGAATGGTCTGTTTCCTGCCACAAGAAATGGAAAGCACAGAAATGGTGTGGAAAATCAGAGAGAATCGAGTCTGAGAGACACACGGTTGCTGGCTGTGAGAGTAGAGACCCATACACAAGAAGCATCTAAAAGCTCACAGCAAGCCTGAGAAGAACAGGAAACTTCTAGTAGCAAAGAACAGCCTTTAGCTGACAGTTGGCAAGGAAACAGAGTTCAGTCCTATAACTAGAAAGAACAGAATTCAGTGACAACTTGAATGAGCTTGGGAGCAGATTCTTCTCCAGAGGCGCTAGTAAGGAAAGCAGCATTGTCAGCAATTGGATTTTAGCACAATGGGACCTGTGTCACATCTCTGACCTACAAAACATTAAGTTAATAAATTTGGTTGCTTTGGGCTGCTAAATTTATGGTAACTTGTTATGACAGCAATAAAACAGAAATGGCATTTCTTTTATCACATAATACATTGTCTGATAGAGTAAATGTTCATAAACATATGGTTAGTGAATCCAAGTCTAAAAGTCTGAAAGTTAGATACCAATATGAGAATGGAGCTTAGAAAATAAGTCAGGACTAAAGATTTATATTTGAACATTCTCCATAAAAATATAAAGCTGAAAACATGAGAATGTACCCTAATGGAATGCTTCCTTTATAACAGGCACTTTGCTATTTTAAAAAGTAAATAAATTTACTTATTTAAAGAATTAAATCACGCAATACTCTCAACAAATCAAATAGGAAGGTATTTTTATTGACCAATTTTAGATGAGAACATAAAACTATTAATTTACCCTTAACAAAGCTAAGAAATGGCAGAAATGAAATTTAAACCTAGGCTGTCTGGCTCCCAAGTTCTTACCCTTTAACTACTAAGCTGTGCTACACATAAACAGTACAACATACTTCTCAAGTCTGAACTCTGAAAGTTCTATACACTTGAATATTATGAGTAGACAAAGCAACAACAAGAGTAGTAAGAAAAGTACAAACAAACCCAGGAAAATATATTGGTTCAGACGTAAGAGAAAGAGAATACATACTTAAGAGGTAATTATTAGTCCAAAAAACAAAGAGATGCATGAAGAATGAGAAATTAGAAATAGCCACTGGGTAAGGTGGTGAGGAAGACATCAGTACCATATTATGCCGTGAGCTACTGTAGAAAGAAGCCAAGCTGTCCTGGACTAACTAATGGGGGGGTGAAAAGAAAACAGGGAGACACCTATAAATCTTTTAATTGTGAAGTAAGTAAGAAGTATGAAAAAACACTAACATGAAAGTGAGGGGGAAGCATCAAACAAAGGTTTGGACTTTGATTATTTTCATATAGGAAAGACTTACTCCCTCTCCTTCTTGGCCTTTTGAGCTCTATTTATCACAAATCTTGAACCCCCAAGGCACAGAAGTACATTCATAGAATTTGAACCTTGAAAGTTAAATTAACATATCATGGGTGCAAATGGAGGTACCACAATAGTCCCTTTAAAAAAAAATGGAGGGCTCAATGAGTATGAGTATCTGTTGACACTTAGTATTCCCTAAGTCTCATTTGCTTTTACATCAATTTGTGACTCTTTTAAGTCACTCACTGGGAAACCAACCATGTTTAAGTAAGACACATCTATATGAAATAGAAAGTATCTTACTAGGTGAAAGGTATGAAAGCCACACAATTAAAGGAAAGCACTTCTGTTTCCCACCAGAAGCTGCTTATAACTGACTGAACAGAATATTCCTACAAATCAGTGATCTCTCCTTACTGGTCTTACTTAGCCATGAAGCATGAAGCAGATCAGATTTTTTTAAAAAGGCCAAATTAAGATGGATAAACATGGCTGGGAAGTGCTGCATTGTTTACATTTACTTTCTTTTCCTACCAAGTTTGTTTGCAACTAGACAATGTTCACATTGAGGCAATAAACACAAGAACATATGTGATTTTTTTTAAATGTGCCCTTTGACTGTCAATTTCTCCCAAACAGGTGCTGGCTAAATGATTATAAATTGGCCTCTGGATACACCTCTTCAACTGAGCTGTACAGGGCTGGTGATAATATAATTAGACCTAAAAACATCAGGCTGGTGAATGCTTTCCATCTGTTTGGCAATAATGTTTAGTTAACAGTAGTCTTTAAAGGAAGCACCTTCAACTTCAGTTCTTAGTTATTTATAGAGCTATTCTTAACACACCAACACTCCAGCTAACAAGAGCTTTAGCCACTTGGAAATTATTAGCCATACGGCTGTATACAAAGAGAAACGACTACATTTAACATCTGTATCTTTCCAAATTTACATGCTTCAACCTCATTTAAAGTCATTTCTTAATGAACAGTGTGATGGCGCTGCATTAGTATTATAGTTGCATGCACAAAGATTGTAAGGAGCCAAACATTTTTTTAATGCCAACAGTAGGCCAATCTGTAATGAAGCTGTCAGCATAAAGGACAAAATAATAGCTTCTTTAACCCTCAAACAGAATTTGTTCATTTGTAGACTAGAATACATCAATTTAAAAACTGCTCATGGGTTTGCTCACCTTTGTAAAGACAAAAATCTAATTTGTACTAATTTGATACAATTGTCTTTCCAATAAAAGGCTCCTAAAACCATCTTTTATTTCACGATAAAACAAGTATTATAACTAAAACTGTCATGAAATAATTACCTTGGATGACATATCTTACTGAAAGAATACAATTAATATATTTCTCCCTTTCATTTTTCACACTTACTTATCAGCCCCATATTAGCATATGGTTTAACAGAAAAGATTACTCCATCTTTCCCCATACTAATATAGAAAATGGCTGCTCCTAACTGGGTGTACGGGGGGCAGACAACTTACTCCTTAAGGACTAGCCTCATCTGTT